TATTGAAATAGTTTCCTAAGTATCATATTTAAAAATTAAAACTCAGACTGTAAGTAAAATTACGATTTTTTTGCGAAGTTTGGAGGGTCTGACAGAAATTACCACCGGTGGAAGTGTTGATTATTAATTAATCCATTTAAGTATTTTGTTCTTCAGAAAAGATTTTCGTGTATGAATTTTCCAAGGTATATTTATTAGTCTGACCAATTTCTAAAAGTTTTTCGAACACCACTAGGTATAACTTAATTATACTATTAACTATTGTTAATTACAATTTCGTAATCTTGTAGAAAAGGTTCATGTTTTATCTCTGTTCATTTATCTCACAATTCCTTTAGTTACACTTAATAGAGTTTGCGATTGTGTCTATCGTCTACTATCACTACTCTTGCTAAAAGAAAATCTCCCAATGTTTTATAGAAAATGCTTTTAGTCAATATTGGCTTGCCCATTACGCTGAGGCTGACAATTCCAGTTTCTCTCAGTCTAGCCGAAATCCTCTTGTCCTGTTTTATTTATGGTCATGATACTGGTCAGGGTGATAAAAGGACTATTTCAAGGGTAGAGGTTAATACGTAATAGCGGCATCCATTCGAAGTGAAAAGGCAGAATATCATTTACAAATAGATCTCCTTAAAACTGACCATTGGAAATAAATCGGTTTTTTTTGTTGCGAATCAAGTACCTACGCTTAATCTGAAGCTTTCAGTTTGTGTTCAGAATTTATTCTTTTTTATCCGCAAATTCACATAAATATTAATAGATATTAATAAATTTCTTCTCTTACTATTAGTTAATATATCGTGTGATATATTCCATCAACTCTAATTTTAAATTGCATTAACTTTGAGATAGATTTGCTGCAGTTATAATTCGTCGACTATTTTCCACGTCTACATTTTTACCCATTTAAAATTCTAATGGCAAAATCAACATAAAGATTAGGATGAATTATTGGACTCGGAAGTCGACCTTCCCATGGTACGTAATATACTGTTACTATTATAGCGTTTAATTTAATTTTTCCGCAATTTTAGTCTTCAAAGGTAGCCCAGGAGTTCTGCCTGAATAAGTATTAATTTAAGACGTAAAAATATCGTGTGATAATATTGTAAATTTCAAAATATAAAATCATTGTTTCAGTTGTAGACACATGCTTATAGGTACGCATAGGGGATTTTACATTACATTCCCACATTTAACTTTTATCCCTATATTCTCTACTAACTTAGAATAACATGAATAAAATTCTATAAATTTAAGATTCCATGAAATCCTTTTCCGTGATACCTCAAATATTTTTTTGAAATTCTAATGTATCATTATTAGGCAAGACAAATACATATGATTCGAAAAATGCTTTCCAAAGCCAGAATTTTCTTTTCCGGAATATTCCGCTAAAATTTTTACGTAAATCCCCTTGATTGTATGTATTATTTACATATCACATAGTCTTGCTATTTTTTATAGCACAATCAGAAGAAAGCGATAAGAAGAAGTGTAAATTATTCAGCAGGGTGATTTACTTAAGTATTACGATAAGAAAGGGTCAAAGACAGTATAACAATTTCGTTCATTTAAAATTCAGAACAGAAAAAGTTAAAACATTTTCATTTGCCATTTATTCTTTATATTTTCAAATCAGTAATCAAAAGATAATGGCTTAAAACGTGTCGTCCGTATGAAAAGGATTACTGGTGCATCTGTCTGTGTGTTTGTCACAGTCAATTTGCTCCGAATCTACTGGGCTGATTATGTTACAATTTACTAGGTATACACATATTAATTTCGGTGGCTCAAATACGGACGCATAACGTAAATAAATTAATTTTGAACATGGAGGTCATTTTTGGGAGCCAATAGGAAGGAATTAGAAAAAAGTTTTGTAAACTGTATCGTGTGACATATGAAATGAAACGGTTTGTTGTAAGGGTCTCAAATATATTTTTGTTTTTATATAGTTTTAAAATAAATAGTTTAAAACTATTTAAGAAAATATATTAAAATTGTCCATTCTCACCCCCTTATCTCCGAAACTACTGAACCTAAAATTTTGAAAAATATACAGAAAATACTTGTTTATTTGTAGATTTCAGGAGGAATAATAAGAAGTTTATGGTCTGAACATGACGTGGTAAATCTTTCAACAAATTAATATTGTGCTTATATGTTTATGTTTGCAGTTTGAATGTATGGGAGAACACCTTCTTTTTTCAACTACAATGTTAAGTTGGTTCTGGGGTTAAGGTCCCGTACTCACGAATGAAAAACGGAACCCGTATAGGATCACTTGTGTGTCTATCTGTCCGTTTTTATTTTGTTTATGAAACACTCAATACAGGGAATATTTTTGATTTTTGAGAATATTGTTCTAGCTTTATTAAATTTTCGGTACATATCTATGCAGTTTATAGTTGCAGTATTACGTTTTTCATAGTTGGTAGTGCAAACTACATTTTATACAACTTATAATGTAACATAAAGTTGTTTTCCAGTTAATAATATACAATTTAATCTTATTCGAAAACATATTTATTGAGTGGCCACCTCATTTCGAACATATTAGACTAAGGCTATTAAATAAAAATGTAAATTGCTTCTATTTTCAATACTACCAGCCTTTAGATAATTATGTTTCCTGTGTTATAATTTACAACATTATTAATAGAAATTCGTTGAAAATCAGATGATGTTTTATAAAAATAAACATTGGTGTGATAGATTCAAATAAAAAATAATAAAACTCCGGTCAGATCAATTATTTTGCATGTTTCAATATGCTTAAAGCGATGCCTTTGATCTGTTAATAAAAAAAGTAAGAAAAGTTGAATATCTGAATGCAAACGAAACCTTTCGACCAACTTGACTGTTCTCTAAATATGCACAAATGGAAGCCTGTAGGATATGAACTGATTTTCATATGTATTCTCCACCGTATACTTTTTCATCTATCAATTCTACGCACATTTTTGAAGTGAGACTTCTTCTGCAAACGTCTTTATACATGTGAAGAGTACAGACACGTAAGTTTGTGTGTAACACTTCATCTTCAAATCTTTATATCTCTCAGAATGTTTTATTCGTGGTGTCATTTTCGAATCATTCAACTGAACGAAAAGAAAAAAACCTTTGGGAAGTTGGGTTGGTGCATTGACGGTTACAAAAAGTTGAAAAGAAAATCGTACGCAATGCTATTTTTGACTTAATTTTATAATGCGTCTAAGAAAAGGAGCTGGTCTGGAAAAGTCCTTTTTTGGTTCATTCTGGACTCGAAAAAGTTATTTTAAAGTTAAGTTAAATACTTTTTATACAAATTTGTATAAAATAATTAGACGTCAAGTAATTAATTAGTTTTTGATCATACCCCACATCAAATATACCAAACGTATCAAAAAGGGTGTTCTCATTGATGTGTGATGTAAACAATGGGACGCCAAGAAAGAGTTCCAAAGATTGAAACTCCAAGTCAACTTATACCTTTCACGAATTCTCGTTTAATGACTTAAAAAACTTGGACAATTTGAGCAAAGAAGTAAATTTACCTACACAACGATTTTTGGCCTAGAAGTTCAAAGTCAAACTCAGTCAGTCATTTGGTGAACTTTGATTTATCTTCTTCCACAAGAACTCCCTCACATTCTAATGGAACAACATCCTTCACTTCGGCAAGCTGGTCTGTAACGTTACTACAAGTGTTGAACATTGTCTTGATGCCTTCCTTTTACAGAATTTGACCAACTTTGTCCATGATTCCTTTAATAAATGGCACATTAAGCAGAATGTGCATAAGTAAGTTCATTTTTCAATCTTTGGGTCTATTATTTGACGCTCCATTGTTTACATCCAATTAAAATTGTCAATTGCACATCAAAGAGAACATTGTCTTAATGGATTTAGTATCTTTTGAGATGAGATATGATTAGAAATCAATGGGCTATTTGACATTAAAATCGCGCATTTATTGTATCAAACATCCATTGGAAAACAATTTAGGAAAGCACTTATTGATTATCTCTGATCGTTCGAAGTAGGATGATCGGACAGCATCTAAGACAAGAAGGATTACTCAGACACATTAGAAGCAGGAACAGGAGTAAAGAGGGCAGAGATACATTTAGTTCAGATTACTGTTGAGTTAAGCATATGGAGCGTTCTAGTTTTCGGAAAATACGAATATTGACTTAAGGATAGGAAAGAGTGTCTTCATGACAACGAACTCTATGACGATGATGATATTCAACTTCGAAAAAGTTATTTTTTAGTTAGTACCGTTAAGTCTTTTTACAAAGAAACGAAACAGTTCGAGACATTACAATCTTTATGCCTGGGTTGTATTTATGCTCATTTTTGAAAAGATCAAATGTTTCGTGAAACTGCAGAGAGCGTGCCTTATAAATCCAAACATATTTGGATTAGATTTCCACCCCATTATCTTTTTTATTGCTTCGGCTTTGCACGATCTTTTTACAGCATATTATTTGGGGGCGTTTATAATGACGATGACGGTGAGATTTTACATCTTTCGTAGCCACATGGATCGTTTAGTGTTTAGTAAGAGACAAAGAAATAGTTTAAGAAATTTTAAAATAAAATAAGGAACTTTATTGTTCTTTAGCAATTATATATTTATAATTCCTGTTTCGTATTAATTAGGTGGGTCATATATTTTGATAGACTTAGAGGGTATTTGTATTTTTCTAAGTGCTAAATGAAAATATCACCAATTAATTTTATCTTCCCCTGAAAAAGTTACTGTGTTACAATTGTCGTGATCGGAATAAAAATTATGAAAAGTACGAGTTTTATTTGATTATTTTTATAAAAATATTTAGTGAGAAGGGTTTCTTACTACCCTTAGTTTTATTATTATTTCTTTTATAAAAATATTTATTGAGAAGTGTTTCTTACTACCCTTAGTTTTATTATTATTTGTTTTATTTTCAGATACTTGGGTCGAAAACGAATGGAACATGCGGACGAACCATGGGTTTCTGATTCCCTTGTGCGAGCAGCCTACTCCTACTGGACTTTAGGTTACGTTATTAGTAAAAGTGGAATAAAGAAGCTTTTAGAAGCAGATCCTCTTTCAAAATTGCTTCCGGTTGACGAATTTCTTCCAATAATGTTTGATAGACACCCTGAAGAGTCGTGGAAAAATCATTTTCCAAAGAGGGATTTACTCGCGTTATCTGCCGCTCCTCTCCTTGTTTATCCAATGAGATATACGGGAGAGGAAGGATATATAAGTGACACTGAAGATTCAAAAGTAGTCTCGTTGGAATTGGAAAATAGTATTAAAGCTGACGAATTCAGATAGTAAGTCGTTAAACTTTAATACTTCATTAATCGTTTTGGTGATTTCTAGTTTCCAGTATCAACTATACTAGTCAAAGAAAAACAAATTATATAATTTTTTGCATTTATCTGCAGTGTCTGGAAACTTATTACTTTAGAAATATTTTACAGTTACAGTTTTCGTTGTATTGAAGTTAATTTTTCAGTGATTCTCATTTACAGTACATTTCATTGATAATATAGTTGAAGTGTATAACTTTTCAGACTTAATTATTTTTCAGATAGACTTTATCATCGCCTTGTGCCAGACAAGTGCCATATATGATGGATTTGTGCCACTTTCTTCATATTGTTCTCTAAAACTAAGTCATTTTTATACACTGCCCACTTTTGATACGTATTTTTAATTTATGTATATGTTATATGTGTGCTTATTGTGTCCTAATCAACAGTTAACTACTCATTGGAAAATATAAAGTTTGTTAGCTAGTAAGTTACGTGTATATTGCAAACATTGAAATGTGCATATATTTTAGTAAATTGTAATCATAATTTAAATTCCCTACAGGACGGATTTTAGTAGGTACTTTTCCTGATGAAGTAACGAATAAATTTTTATTTATATGTTGTAGCACTTTATTTTTTAAGTAAACATGTTCTTAGTAAAACAATGTGTCAGTAAAATATAAAAAGAAATTATAATAAATCTNAGTAGGGTTGAGAGAACCCTTACAAATATTTGACTTTACTCATCTTGTCTCTATCCTCTTCAAACAAAATTATCAAAATCTGAGAACCAAACTTTGAAGAGTATGCAAGATGCACCACCTGTAACTTTGACATTCATAAATGGCAAAATTACAGATTCCAGAAGTAGGGTTGAGAGAACCCTTACAAATATTTGACTTTACACATGGGCCTTCGGCCCGGCTCTTTCAACTTCTCATCCTTTTGACCAGCTTGGATTCATTCACCTTCCGATCCTCATAGACCGGTAGACCCCCACCATCCCCGACCACCATCCCAGCTGCCTAGCATTTACTCCTTAAGAATTTGATTGTTATTGAGGCTCGAATAAGTATAGCCGCGCCACCTATGAACTAAAATTGAAAAGTCTATTTTTACTGAAAATAGCAAATTGTGGAAAATTATTTATCTTTTAGTTCCAATTATTTTAAATAGGTTTTGTTCAATATTTGAAATTTAACCAAATTTTGTATACGAAATATACTTACACATTTTGCTTATTACATCAACCAACGAAAATAAAATTGACAAGTATTTATAAATTAAGTTCAGGCATACATTTTAAACATTAAAGAGTTATGTATATGACCTTTTTTTTAATATTTTTTATGAATGTATTGAATAAGATAGACAATTATACTCTTTTCAAATAAGAATATAATAATATTTTCTACTTACTTAAATAAAAATTTAATCAAAATCAGTTACAATGAATTATATTAAAGAATAAATTACATTTGTTTCGTCAGACAATTATTAAAGAGTATTACAAGGAATATTAAATTATAAGATGGTTTAGATACATATTAAGAAATATACAATATATGCATACAGAAACGTAAATGCAGCGATTAACATTATATTATTTTAAAGTAATTTTCCGAATATTATTCTACTATCTAAACTGATTGACTATTAGTGAATGTAAAAAGATGTATTATTTGTAACATCCAGCGTTGGTGAGCCCATGGTGCTGCAGGTTTTGCGACAAATGATACCCAGGACTAAAGTTTGATAAGGAGCTCCTTTAAGGCTGTTGATTTTCTATTGAAGGTTTAAAAAAAATTATAATTAAACAAACTGACTTTCTCGACTTTAGTTCTCTTAAATTAATTAATGATATAGTGTTCAATTTTCAGTAGAAATACATAATTTCAATTATTCTTAATTAAAAAAATTAGGCTTACAAAAACGAGACTTTCTTATCTATATCTATGAGGCCCAGACAGGTGCTTAGGGGCTAACGGCTCTGTAATAAGGGAGGTGTTTTATATATAGTAGGTCCATATCAAAGAGAACATTGTCTTAAT